CTATCCGGTGGGTGACTTCTTGGTTACTTTTTTGTTGTGATATTTCAACCTCTTTGAACATCCTTCATTCCAGCTTTCAAGTTACTGTGAATCCCACGATTACCGAAAAGTCACCTATTTTGCTTGCGAAGCCTGGTGACGTCGAGAATACCTCTCATTTGGCCCTCTGCAATTGCACAGCAGAGCCTTCAGAATTTGGAAGCGGTCTAACACGTTCGCGACAGCATGACGCGCATGCGCGTCAGAATTTCAAAGAACCCGATTCTGGCTCCTTTTCTGGATTTATTTGGCCTTTTTCATATTTCAAAACTGTGTGCATGCATTATCTTATCCGAAAAACTGAATCAATTACCTGTAGTGAAATTATTGAAGAAATTATGGTGAAAGAAAAAAGTGCCGAGGTGTATACACAAGTTGCTGTGGTCAACATGTTAATCTCGAGGACGATGGTGTACGCCCCCCCCGCGCTTTGCTTACCATTTCTCCGATGAACTGTTTCCCATCTGGACCTACATTCATCCTCACCCTCATTTTACGCCCAATTTTCAGCCCCGAAAACCAAAGATTTTACGACTTCTTCTTTTTTGCAGCCAGGACATGTCAGCTTACACTTGCCGATGCCCTTGAAGTTAAACTTCCGAAATTCGCAGTCGTACTACTGCCAGGGTTTCAGAGCCTGAAGCTTCAAAATCAACTTGCCAGAGTTTATAAATATAAATAGATATAAATATATAGTTCATGTGAGAAAGAGGCGGAGCGAGCTGTATAGTCCTCTTTTTTATAATTTCTTGTTGAGATACTGCTGTAAGAGTTTATTTTTCTAAGTTACCTGATGATCTAGAGCGAGCAAAGGAGACAAGTGGTGAGCGCGAGGAACTGGGCAGTAATTGTTGACGCTCTGCCCTCGCTCGGCCAAGTACACGTCAAACAATGATGTGTTCTGTGACGAAATACACGATCTCGCTCTAGAGGTACTCTTTGGTACCTACTGGAAATTACCACTTACCTTCATTTTACAATTACCTCAGTGTTTACCTATATTCGACATCTCAGCGAGTTGTTCTCGTGAAGATATACGCAGTCTCTCGGTGAAGAGTGTAACGAGCTTCATGCAGGCCATGGACTTCTGCCCGATGCCTGCCTCGTGTTGTGATGGGATGACTTTGACCTGCTCTTTCGCGCTGAGCAGAAAGCGGGCAAGCTTTGCTATGCACTGCGACCTTATAACGTTACTAAAAAAGGAAAAAAGTGAATTTGATCTCCGGGGTATCGTCCTTGATTAACCATAAAGGGATGATGTGTCATACAAGTGAAGAACGAATTTCATGCGCTGTGATAACATAGGGCGTTGGTATGTTCCCACAACGTCAAAGTGGCGCTAGCTAAATTTCGGGATCGGAACTCTCCTTTCTTGTTGCGAAAGTGTTGCAGCTGACGGTTTCATGTGGCAGGTGAAACACACAAGCCATAGGTTTTTGACTTGTTTTGTTTGTTAACTGCTGTTTTAACGCCACAGTTCGCGTTGCGAATGTTTCACAAGAATGCTGGGTCGTGAACAAAACTTTCGCCCCAGGCGGGACTAGAACCCGCACCCCTCGCTAGACGAACGCACAAACACGTTAGACGTGTGAGTGCTGAAAGCTTTTTCTTTTATGGTACGTATTATACCATGAAAAGCTGAGTTGGGATGAAATGGTGCCCCGGTAGCGTAACTGGTAGCGCACTTGCCCGGAAAGCGAGAGGTGCGGGTTCTAGTCCCGCCTGGGGCGAAAGTTTTGTTCACAACCCAGCATTCTTGTGAAACATTCGTATTACTTCATAGATGTTTTTTATATCTTTTAACACTCAGCAGGTGCATCTTTAATAGGCAGGCTAGCAAAATGTTCTGAAGTAGTTCTCGAAGTGAAAATCACTTTTGAAATTTTCTGTGGCCATCGTTCAATGAATATTAATGCTAAGCCGCCCCCCCCTCCTTCAAAGGGAGTACCGCAACCAATACGAACCCTGGGCTCCAAGCTTTGTCCGTTGGCTGTTAAACCCAGATTCCTTGTTGCGGAAGACCTTAACAATCACATATCCATTCTCTTACAAGTGCCTGACAAATTAAAAAAAAAAAACGGAAATTTCGAGAGATCAAAAAACCGAGTTAGAACATATCTCTTTGAATATTGTGAAGTGGAAACACAAAGGAAAATGCGCTTCTGAATTTGCTAGACGCTCTTTGTGTTCAAAAATCAATAAGCTATTGGATTCAGATGTTGTTTATTAGATATGCCGACAGATTATGCAATATGGCCATTTATGGCATTTCAATTCGCCCTGATGGAGGCCTTATCATGTGTTCATCAGCTTAGCACACTCTGCTTCTATCACGAGTGTCCTCCCAGTCAGCAGAATGGTGAGCTACTGCCAGTAGATCGGAACCAGCTTGGTAGATGACCCCACTATCCCAGGGCTGTCTCGTTGGCAGGGCACTTGTTGAGCAGAGATGACTATTCGGTCTTGAATATTTGCCAGGTGCTGACCTTGGACCTCTTTTTACCAACGGATATCTAAAATGGGTAACCCTGGAAGGACCGTGCTCATTGCTGCTTGCGTTGACAGACAGCCATGGGCCATATCCTGTCCCGCAGTGACACTTGTCTTTTGTTCTCGGGTAGCCTGTCCAGCCATCACCCGGCTACGTTCGAAGTGGGGGCGTCGTAGCGTTTCGCGGACGGGTGGGACTCGCAAACCGGCCCCGGATCGACAGAGACCCCCAATATCATCGATTAAAGCCTAACTCACGTTCCTACTTCTTTTCCTTTACCGTCTGATAGCTTAATTTGTCGCCTAACTTCTTTAGTAAGTTATAGCTGAGGCATAGACAGTTGACTAAATAAAGGAACCCCTGATGCCAATAAAATTCTCTTTTCCGAAACCAGAAAAGGACAGAATCTATTTACTTGATTTGAATTTGATTTTCTTGACTAGCTATGATGAAAATATATCTATTTTACAATGAATAATTTCAATTTGAATAATTGTATTTTTATAATGCTCCCATTTTTCAGACCCTCAGTTCCTTCTGAGTTAGACCCAGATCTATTCTACTGTAATTTTCTAACTTCAGATCAGCCGGAATCGATTTTCTCATGGATTCTCGTTCAACAGGCTTAGCAATTCCCTTGTTGATTAGCCCAATAAAATCCCTTAAAATAGTGCAAAGATAGTAAAAGTTCCTGGCTCTCGAAATATTTTCCCACACGAAATACGAATACCCGTTGAATTTTAATGGGTCGGGTTTGAATCTGCTGAGGTCGAATGGAGCCAATTTCTTCAAACAATATCAATTGGGGAGCGTGCAACAGAATCGTCCGGAGTGGACGCCGTCGCGCGCGGCTAATTGCGCGGCGCCGCAATGCGGCATTTTTTGGATGGGCGCGGCAACTTAGACTGTGTCGATTGGGGCGACAGTTTTGCTGCGGTCCACGATAACTCTTTTGGCCGTAGCGCATGGAACGATTCTCTTGCTGCACAGAGTCATCCAGAAGTTCCTTTGAGCACGGTGCGTGGTAGGAACAAGAACTAGACATTACGGCACTAACTAGTATATAAGTTTTATGGTTTGGGAGTATGCAATCGTTGAATTGGAACCTTATAACTTGACATTTGATTCAGTTGTCAGCGTAGCTTAGAATTGCTGATGTTGTTTTTTCCAGTTCCTTTCATGATCTGTGACTATGATCCTTATGATTCGCTTCAGACTCGAATAGAGAAGACCAATTTTTCTCAAGAACAGAAGCAAGAAGAAGAGAAAAAGTCGAAGGTAAAGTTGATACGAGTGCTAGGTGGATGGTTTTCGTCTCTTTGATAATTTTTGCCTACTTTGGGCTGTCTATCTAGATATCTGATATCATTTTGTCCTTTTCTCTTTACGAGCCGCTTCTGCTTTAGATTCTAGAGGATATTGGAGAGCTCGGTGGTCAAATAGATGGAGATGATGAACAAGGTGCAGGATTCGTAGCCTGCAGTTGCTAATGTCTGAAATAAAAACACGTGATAACCGTAAGGCGTAAAGTTGCATTGTCTTCCACGCATATTGGGTATCTTAAAAACTTCTTGCGTGTGGTAGGATGTGATATCCACAATTAGTCTGTGCGCTCTTGTCTTGCCTCCCCAATTACATTTTCTTTGCCATCCCACGTGAATTGTTATATCCCGGGAGCAATATTGACAAAACTGTGTCGTTCTCAACTTCTTCATAGTAA